GTTTAATTTACAGTCTCAGAAAACCCACAGGAGGATTAGCTATTAGTCAGTTCCAACTCCACAGCAATGAATTTTGTGTTTGCATACTGCATTACCTTGATTGTGTTAATATTTAAATGTGCTTAAACATTTAATAAACACATTAACAAGTTTATACCTGTTCTCTCAGATTTTGTTTAAACAATTTAATTTTATTTTTTTAATCTCCGTCTGTAATTTTTTCCCCCCGCAGCTTGGCTGGTCAATCGGTCCCAGTTATTTGATCCAGCATTTACAGACAGTTCAACAAAATACCATCTATACTTGTGCAACACCATTACAGGTAGGCATTTTAGTAAGTAATCAGAATCTTGTAAAGTAGGCATTTTAGTAAATAATCAGAATAAACAAAGAATCTTGTTGGTGTTCAGCTGCTAATTGAAATGTCAGTGGTTTGAACCCACCAGCCACTCTGGAGGAGAAAGATACAGGAATCTGCTTCCATAACAGGCTTGGAAACCCTATGGGGCTGTTCTACTCTATCCTTCAGGTTTACTGTGAATTAGAATTAATGGCAGTGAATTTTTATTTTAGTAACTTAGAGTTTTAAGTTTGGTCTTTTGATGAAGGTGCTCTTCCTATAATACTGTTTGTATTTGGTTTAACACTTCCCTTTATATCTTCCTTGAACAAGGTCATCTGATAGAATTTGGGAATTTAGGAGTGAACAGATATTCACTGTTACCAAAAATAAGAGTTTTTTTCAGTCTATAAAATTTTAACTTTGAATATTTATACATTGCTGGTCGGAGAAAAAAAATCATCATGGGTAAAAATGGCAGTACAAATCAAAATCCCAGATCTACTTACCCTATGAAACTTCAGTTCTTCTTCTGACAATTTACCCTGCAATATATATGGTTATAGATGACGGAAGACTGAGAACAGTCCCGTACTCATCTATAGGCAAGTAATTAAATATACCATAGTCAATCTAAGCACTTAAGTACTATAAAGTTGTGTTAGTTTCTAGTTGCTATTAGAACCAATTAGCAAATATTTGGTAGCTTAAAACAACAATGTATTATTTTACAGTTAAGAACGTCCAAAAGTAGTCTTCAAACATAAAACAGTACAGCTATTTTCCTTTTGAAGGCTCTACACAAGAATCTATTCTTCCCCCCCCC